TATATATATATATGTTTTTTCAAATTTTATATAATAGAATTTCAAACGACAAATTGATCATAGAATGCAATTTAGAAATGAATAAAAAGAAAAATGCATTAATTATAGATACAAAAAGCAACAAGGAAAATAAGAATAAATAATTAATTAAAACAGAAAATTGACAGAAAAACAACATCATTAAGAAAGAAAAATTGAAGCATATAAAGTAAACTTTATATAGTAAACTTTATCCACTTAAAGCAAATGTAATACATCTGCCAGTACAATATGTATAAAATAATACACACACACACACACAATATAAAAAAGAGTGTTAATGCTATCTATTAGCTGTGTTCCTATATATTGTCAGTACCGAAAATCTATATATATATAATATGTAACTATGTGTAACTATGGATTTTCAGTACTGCCAGTGTACATTAGAAGATAATAACCTATATAAAAACAAAATACTATGTCGAGTCACGTTAAAAGTATCTCAGAAGAATATTAATACATATATAAATCTTTACATTCATAAGTATCATTTAAAGATAAAGAAAATAAAAGTAAAAGGGCTAAGTTAGACTCACATCGATAGCTCTTTTAATGGCGGCACATAATGCCCAGAATCCTGTGTAATTGTTAACTGTCCATTGTTTAGTACTATTTGGTATCCAGAGCGAAAAATTTAACGTGTGCAATAAAAATAGCCAATCACCAGCTCTAATATCGAAGAAAGAAGGATAAAGCTTGGGGAATTGTCGTATAAAGGTACACGATGTATACTTATCATCAGACAGCATGAACTCTACCACCTATAAAATATATTGTTCAACAGAACTTGCTTTGTAATACAAATTTTAATTGATTGAATTTTATTTGATTTATATTTTTAAAAATCATATATTAAATTCTATATAATATATGAAATGTAAGATTATTTGATTTCTTGACATAGTTTATGTTTAAAGTCAAAAGGAATCTAAAGATATTATTGAATAATAAAGTAAAAGTACAAATAAAAGGAATAAATCAAAGATGCAAAGTATAAATGGATTTTTACATAATTAATCTTTCCAAAATAATTTTAAATTATAATAATTAAAATATGTTTTCCTTTGTATGTGTTCACTTTTTGATTTAAAATCGTCAGTTAATTTGAAATAAACCATCGCGAAATAATAATCGAAAAATTCATAAAATTTATAAAATAAAAATTTTGTTCTAAAATTTTTTATTAACTTTGTTTCTCATTATATTGCAACGTTAAAATTTAATTATATTTTCAAATTTTGCGTTTAATGTAACTTCTGCTTTCTCTCTCTCTCTCTCTCTCTCTCTCTCTCTCTCTCTCTCTCTCTCTCTCATCTTTATCTTTCGCTCGCTTTCTTTGAAGAATCACGAAAAAATTATTAACATTCCTGGATTATTTAAAATTTTCAAAAAAAGATAAAGGAAAAAAGATCAAACCTCTTCCGCTAATTTTTTCACTCCATGTTTGTCAATAATTACGTCCAAGCTTGTTTTTTTTACTACAGTTTCTTCTATTGAACACAGAATAGTAGGAAAGATAGATGCAACCATGACGTTAAGTTATATTGAACCTACAGTTCTCAAGTATTGAGAGTGTCTATTCCAATCGTAATTACCTTATACAGCTGATAGAAAATAAACATGACATAATAACAATAAGATTGTTGAACAATAAAACTTGATTATACGAAGAAATCCTTCATTCGATATCCCGTGTTATATGACTTGTTTATTTATTTTGAAAAATTATGCTAAGTTACTCTTTTGCGTTTACTTTTTTTACATACTTTAAAATCTTTTTTACCTTCTGTTTCTCTTTTTTCCAGTACCTAAAATTTTACATACAAGAATATAAAAAGAGCAGACTTGTTTTCTTTTTACATATAGAGAATTATCCACTTAGATCAAATATCTTGAATATTTCGATTATTTTTGTTAATACGAAAAAATATTTCAAATGGAAGTGAAACGATTTCGAAGGATAGGTGTTATGTACGTCGCAAAAAAAGATTATCGAAAAAGTTAAACTTATAAAAACACGTTATAAAAATAATAATCTTAGATATTACTTTTAATTTAGATAATGTAATATTACGGAAGTGTTTTATATTTAAAAAAGAGATAAATTATTTTGTTATTAAAATTAAACTTTAATTATAATAATTATATAAGTACATGGAAATAGGAAAATTTTGATAAAAATAATATTATTTTATATTCGCTACGCTGTGTAATAAGCAAAAGTAACATTGAGATTCTTTATATATATGTTAGTGTTTAATAGAATTAATTTCTTAAAAATATTAGAACATTTTTTAAATTATGTATATATGTATATAGGGTATGGGTGCGTGTGTGTGTGTGTGTGTGTGTGTGTGTGTGTGTGTGTGTGTGTGTGTGTGTGTGTGTGTGTGTGTATCTGGTAAGTTTTGGCAAAGCACTTGTGTATAGATAAAACAGATTAAATTGAGTCAAAAAGTCCTCTATCATTTTGCAATTTTTGCAATAGTTAACTTCTAAATGAGATATTAATTACTAAAAATCGCTGAATATTGATTGATAATTTTTTTTTTTTTACTTAAATAGTATTAATTTTACAGAAAAACAGCGAGAGACAAAAATTATTTATTTTCTTCTCATAAAGTTCTGAAAAGTTTCTAATATTTCTCTGTTGATAAAAAATAAGAAAATGCAGTACTAAAAATTGATTAAAAATTTTGAAAAAATTCTTAGAGTTCTATGAGAAGAAAATAAACAATTTTTCTCTTGTAATTTTTCTGTAAAGTTGACAGTATTTGAATAAAAAATGATTGAAGACTAATATTCGATAATTTTTAGTAATTAATATTCTTAATTATTGTAAAAATGGCAAAATGGTAGAAGACTTTTCAACTCAGTTTATCCGTTTTACAAGCGCTTTGTTTTAAAACTTATCAGACACCCTGTATAATTATTATGTTTATAAATAGTAATGATATTCCCAACATCTAAAAACAAGACATAAAACGTTTAGAAGACACTTAAAAGAAACGTTTAGAAACATTTATTAAAAGATATATTATATTCAAAATATTGGGTTGGCAAGAAAGTAATTGCGCTTTTTTAGCTCAAAGTTGTATATACAATATCTTCGTCAATAATGAATGAAATTTAAATTTAAAAAAAAGAGTTTTAAAGCTTGAAATCTCTATTTTTAAAAGCTTACCATATTTTTTAAATTTATATGAGTTTGGTAATTTTTACATATCAAAAACTACGAGCTGAAAAAGACAGAAAATTCTCTTCTTATTTGTGGGTTTAACGTGTCCAAAATAAATTTGAGAAAATTTTCGACTACCTCATGAAAGCTTGATACTTTCTCTACAAAATCATTTTTTTTTTAATATTCCTATGATTTTTGGTTATTTACCGTGGATTAAATAAAAGGAATATTTTGGCTTTAATTGCTCATAACTCCGTTAAAAATTGCCGTATCACAATTCAAAAATCACAATTTAAAAAAGAGACTCTTAAAGGTGAAACTTTGCTCTATCAAGATATATTTATATTGATTGGTAAGAAAGTAATTGCGGTTTTTACTGATAGATGTCTGAAAAAAACGCAATTATTTTCTTGCCAATCCTATACATATATCTTATGTTTCGATTTTGACTTTTTTATTGTCTGGAATATTATTGCAATATATATAATAATAATAATATATTACACAAATAAATGATTGCAATTGTGTATATAATTGAACATTTACTTATATTATGTATATTACAAATATTTATTTAAACATTATAAATACTTTTATTTATATCAGAAATGCTAAAAGATCATGCTAAAAGAATCTTTTCTTTTAAGGAAAATTTTCAATTTTAATCGAGAAATATAAAATTAAAATCGATAGTTGGGTTTTCTTTCCATTATTTTGAAAATATGTTTTATGAATAAAACATGAGAAAACGTATTATCTAAAGTATAATTTGTGACAATATAAATTATTCTAATAGCTCTCAGTATAGACCTTGCATAATATATTCTTCTTCAATTGCTCATTATGTAATTGTAGATAGTCCCACAAAAAGTTGTCAACCAGGCACATACAATCGAAATCTGGCAACTCTAATTCGGGTATTCGTTTTACGAATGTATTTTGCTTCAACGTTTCCATCAACATTTGATGCAGATATCTTACTATCATAAGTGAACAACAGCAAATCTCTACTTCTTCTTTAGACCCATGTATAATGAATTCTATAAGAAAACGTATTTTACTATTTATATATAATACATACAATAAATCCTCCAAATAGAAATTAAAATTGGCGAAAAAAGTGTATCCCTTAACAAAAAGTATCTCTACATGTAAACGTTTCTATAAACTATCATAATTAATACAGTAAGAGAAAGATAATAGATAAATATTGAAAACGACCTCCAATGACTTCGACTTTGTCATATATTGAGGGGCTCCGCCTCTTTCCCTGCATCTCTCTTCGATTTAATCCTAATCTAACCCAACTTAACCCTTATCTGATTGTGAGGTGGACATAAGTCGCGCGACGATAAAAAGTCACACACCGTAGCGGAGGGGAGGGAGAGGGGTGGGGATATTGTTATTTGTGATAATTATGATTTAAAATATACAATTAAATATACATTTATATTGCCAACTTTATTTATTTGTTAACTTGATAACTTGAACGAATGGCGAGCGCGGGCTAAAATCTTCCGAGGATTACGCAGAATCTTGATAATATATGTCATTAGAGGTGGGTTCGTTTCCAATATTTACTTATAATATAATATAATAAATAGAAAGAATATGATAATATAACATTAAAAATATTAAAACAAAAATAAATTACACATTGAGTGAAATAATAAAATTAATAATCTGAATAAATTTCCCTTTTTATATAAACAAAAAAAGCGATAGAAGCAGATAAGAAAGACAATATATTTCACGATAAACAATTACTTGTATTCTGTAATGTAACTCAAATTATCGCAATATATGTATGTACATATATGCATACATATGATATTTTTTAGGCATTAAATTCGTTTAAAGGATATAATTTTTATATGTTAAATAAAATATTCAGAGAATGGAATAACATAAAAAATTTTCAATGAAAAACGGAGGATAAGTTATTGATAAAAAGCGATAAATGCTTTACCCTCTTTTTCGAGTTCGTCCAAAAATTTTTTACTGTAAACAAGAACATTGAAATGATTGAAAACCTGAATAACACGATAATCAGCAAATATCGTAGAATACTTTATTCCTTCTATTTTAATCCAAAGTTCATGTTCTTGATCAAAATAGGCCCATATATCAGTAACCAACGTCCAAGCCTTAGTGTACAAATGAACTGAAAAAAAGATTATGGAAATCTCATTATATATATTACGAAATTATATATATAATTATAATGCTCTCTAAAATCTTTAGAGTGAATGTCATATTAAACAATGAAATCTTACTCTTGAAGATTGAAAATTGAGTTATTTTTTTTTAAATGACTTAATTTTTACTCTTTTAGAATGAGAGTAAATTACTTTAAATAATTTAGAGAGTGTACATCACAAATATATTATTTAATAATATATTATTTAATAATTAATCACAGAAATAATGTGCAGCATTATAATTATATACCAAATCAATAAAAACAATTTGTATTTGGAAGATTTAGAGAAATTTAAGGCTGCGACAAAAACAGAACACTAAGATATAAGCGATAAACAATATTTTGGATTTGCTATCCTGCTTACGTTCTCTATTTGGTCGATTACTTCACTTATTATTTATATCTTTCTTTTATGTTTTTTTGTATGTTATATGAGCTTTTATCCCGTATAAACTTCGCATTCTAATATAATAATTAAAATAACTTATATAAATTCTTGTTGATCTCTATCTATAAATTTTTTTGCTTATCATAATATATGTCCCTTCGAATCGAACAAGATCTCTTGTAGTATTATCTCGTATCATCAAAAACAACGGAGATATATTTTAAACGATCAAGTTACAAGAAACATCCTATATAATATCGCATATTCTTCATCATATTAACCGATAATAAATACCTGATCGTCCGCCATATTTTACTATGTCGTGATATGACTGGAATTTATCATGAATTGTGACCATCAACTTAATGGCATCGTGTTCACATGATTTGATACAATTTGCAAAAGTACCTATAACAAAACGAAATCTTATAAATCAGTTAAATATATAAGATTTATCAATTAAAACTGTATATTTTTTCCAATATAACTTATCCAAGACCTCTTCCTTATTTTGAATCATCTTTTAGCCTAGCGAAAATAAAAGTTAAAGCGTTTAAATTAAATAAGGGAAAAAAAAACAGAAGTAAAACGAACATCCAGCAAACGCTAAGTAGCAAGTGTATAATTGTTATTGTAGTTGTAATTTCTTATTCAATAATATAACATATATATTATATTACAGTTGTATTGTTAAGTAGAAAATTAACAATTTAACAATTAACAATTATGTAACTGTGTAACTGTTGCTTAATGTTTGTTAAAAAATTTCTAGGAACTCACAACAACTGCATAACAAGTTACAGAATAAAGACCTTGCAGTGGAATTTTTTAACTCATTATATAATCATTATGAGCATATAACGATTGCATAACAAGTTATAGAATTTCGCTATTGAACG